AAGGCTTCCTCCCCATATCATCCAGGGAGGTTTTATCAGCTGCATCCAAGGACACATCTGTAGGGATCCGATGGTAGGAAAGAATTCTTTAGAGCAAGCAACAGACTTTTCTTCCACTGCTTTTTAAGTCTTAACTGAGACTCTGTGTTGTGAAAATGCCAATAATCCAGATTTGTTACCATCTCGCCTCTCCCATATAAACTTCACCCAGATGTTGCCTTACTCCTCACGCCACTGGGCTGTGGTCCTCATCAGAACCACATCCAGTTTGCAATTCAACTCCCTCATATTTTGAGTCTGTGCGTTCACCGTACGAGAGATTCCATTGAGGGAAACTAACACCTTTTCACTGGGCCGGACCGCCGTCAGTGTCGTTCTTATTTTCCGATAAACCAGAACTCCTCCATAGCCGATCAGCAGGAATCTGATTATCATAAATACAAATATGAAAACGTATTCAAGGTCCTCAATGGAAAGAGGTGCCAGGCAGAACAGATTCCACCTCCAGCTACCTGAAACTCGCCCCGGTTCCACTGGGACAAGAGCGCTCCTCACGCTCTAATCTCAGGGTGGAAAAAAATGTATCAATTGTGTTCAGAGACCAGTTGACCAGATCCATTGTTCTTTTGTTGTTGAATGATAGGTAGAAGAAAGGCTTGATCCAGCAGCAAAGCAGGGAAAAAGGCAGGTTCGGGAGAGAGAGCAAAACGCGTCCAACTCCTCTGAAGGCCAAGAAGAAAAAGCAACCAATCAGATGAGATAATTTACAAGGATTAAACCACTTTATAAAAGGTGGAGGGTGGGGGGAGACTCAGGAGACCATGACACAGTTTTGACAAATGTAATTGGTTACTGAAATATTAAAGCAGGAACAAAACCTATGTGTGTGTGTGTGTGTGTGTGTGTGTGTGGGGGGGGGTGTTTCTCATTGCTCGCTTATAAGAGCCGACAAAGAGCTGCTATGTTCAAGAGCAACATATTACTAGTAATTCATGGTGAGCTGGCTCTTTTCAGGTGTACAGGAAAAAGCAGGAATTGCCGAAAGCCATTAGGAACTGACGAAGGCTGCAAATGAAAATCACAGGTAAATTTACCCAGAAAACATAAGAAAACTTACCAAAGCAATAGGGGAATTCATAAAAAGAATTTGGCCAGTATTCACTGTGAAGACCACTGGAGTGTTGTTTGGAGTGACTGACTGAATCCTCTCAATAATAGCATATTTTTAACACTAATGCTGCTTATTCTAAATCTGTCTAGACACGATGATGTGTGCATGGAGGTACTGTAAATATCATGAAGGTAATGGCAGTCTCAGGTAAAGATTCAAACATGGGCCAGTAGCAGCAGAGACCTGAAACCTTGATAAAAGTAACGCCCACTCAACTGGTTGAACTGCTTGATGCCCCACCACTGTGATATTTAGAAATCAGAAGCTACAATGGTAAACTGACTGTACATGTGTAGCACCTTTCTATCTAATAAAGAGACTCAAAGCACTTTAAAACACAATCTGTGCCCCTCATTTAGTTATCCGTACAGCACTCTATATCTCTCTACAAAGCTAATCTGTGTAAATCATTCCATAGAGACTAATCAGTGCTTAAATCACATTCATGCACTGATGGGACACATTTAAGAGGCAATGAAGGGTTCAGTGTCTTTCGCAGGGACACTTCAACATGTGACTGCATGGTGGAATCAAACCCCCAACTCTCTCACTGGAGGACGAGTCTAACCTCTTAGCGAAAGCTGCCAAATCAGTCAACCCATAATTCAAAACTAAAAGCCAAAAACATATGCCTGTTTCAACATTGACAAATTGATACCAAATTGCGACTGTAGTTTGTAGCTGACCAGACAATTATCCTGTGTCTTGGTCAGTATGTTGGACAGCTTTTCTCAATTCAGTTCTATTAAATTGTGTTTATATTTTGCCACTTCACAACAAAAGACACCTTGAAGACACAATACAAATACATTCACATACATTCCAAAACGGTGTGCAGCGCTGCAGCTTCTGAATAAATGAAAATGATTTAACACAGTTGTTTATACTTTTAGCAGCTCTTTTTATTCCACAGCTGACCCGCTAAAAATGACAGATTTTCTTTTCTGGATCTCTGACAGACGGACTTCAATCTCTGAACTCGTAAAGTTCTTCTTTTTTTAGTTTTCGCTGTCATTTTCATGAATGGACACTTCCTGATATCTGAGGCAGGAAACATAGCCTTATATGGTGTTTTTGGGGTGGTAATTATGCTAATCTCCTCTCGCGTGCACGGGCAGCTGGATTCGAACAGGTGGATTTTACGCAGCTCATTTACACACTTTTCCTGAAGATAGAAGAGTTTGTTGAATATGACGTGACATGTTCGTACGAACCCTTCATACGAACAAAAGTAAGAGAAATTTAGGATAAGAATACGAACATGTTCTTGCATGAGGCCCAATAATCCTAAAATGTAACTATAAACGAATGACATTCTACGGCTTCCAAAATTCTTTTTGTGTAACAATTTTATAAATAAACACGGTATGTACAAGAAGTATCTGGAATACAAGAAAAAAAAAACCCTGAGAAAATATTTTAGAAACATCCTCCTTTTTACGTTAATCCAGGATGAGAGTCTCAAATGGCATACAGGACTGCCTAGCATGGCTTTGTAAATACTTAAACAGTAAATCTGCTGCCAATTTTGTGCACTTGGAAAGGAATGAATACCAGCACACACAGTGTCAAGATCAGACTTGAATGCCTTGAGCATCTAGTGGCTCTCCAGAGATAGCAACTCAATCATTGCCATCATTTGCTGTCTTTTGAACTCTGAATTGAAATCTAAATCACATGGCTGGCGCGCTTCTTCAGTCTTGCGCCTTTTAACATGCGCACCCTTCCCATCATGACTCAAACTCCTTCAAGACAATTAGAGCATGCACCATACAGGCTTTGCTTTCAGCCACACGCAGACTTCAAATGGCATCGGTGGCAGCTTCAATTGTTGTGCAGGATTTCAAAACCGCAGGTGGAAAGTGTGATGTGGCTTGTTCCTGCCACGTAACTGAAATATTTCAGGGGAATTATCAAAACTCACCTGGCTTCTTTTCAAAGTCACCACATTATTTTAAATAAAGAAGCACAGCTGTTGTTCAGTGGGGATTGTTGGAACATTTTTATGAAGCATTTGTTGGGAAAGATAAATACATTAGAATTAAAGCAACACACAAGTAACAAACAGACTGGAATGAGGAAATAAACTTATTAAAAAAACTAAGAACTGCATGATTCTAGAGTAATGGCATTTACTTGTCATAGCTAACAGAAGAAGGTTTATGTTGATTGGATGGAAATGTATAAGGATTTTTTTTTAGATAAAATGTATCTCTCTCAATTTATACATGTACTATATATGTATACTGTATATGTACAGGGGTTAGACAAATAAACTGAAACACCTGCTTTTAGATCATAACATCCCTTTCAGACAGCTTCCTCTTGCGTCCACATCCTGTTGGATGTGGTTCATCCTTCTTGGTGGTATGCTGACATTACCCTGGATACTGTGACTCTTGATACATCACAAAGACTTGCTGTCTTGGTCACAGATGCACCAGCAAGAAGTGCACCAACAATTTGTCCTCTTTTAAACTCTGGTATGTCACCCATAATGTTGTGTGCATTGCAATGTTTTGAGCCAAACTGTGCTCTTACCCTGCTAATTAAACCTTCACACTCTGCTCTTACTTATCTGCAATTAATGAAGTTTGGCCACCAGGCTGGTCCAATTTGACCATGAAACCTCCCACACTAGAATGACAGGTGTTTCAGTTTCATTGTCTAACCCCTGTACATATAATATGTACAAACACAACAGGAAGCAGTCAAATTGGAGCTATTATTAAATAAATTTAGAAACTGTTCTAATAAGTAATAGTCTAGTAATATTCTACTGGTTATGTATAGGGCCCACAAAAACACATTATCTTTAAACATCCAAGTAAATTTTATTAAGAGAAAGAGTTGTTATAACCTTAAAGGGACAGATATATTTGTAAAACCAAAATTCAGAAGTAGTTTGAAGGAACGGTGTACTTTAATTCAAGGAATAAAAGTATGGAATAATTTGGGGAGTGATGTAAAAAATTCAGGATCATTATGTACATTTAAGAAAATGATAAAAACTGGATTGCTAAAGAAATATGAAACAGTATAAGGTGTATCTGTATAAACTGTCGTTCTAGAGGGATTAGATGTTCTTGTCTTTTGTTTTGTTTATAACATAGATTTTTTTTTCTTATATGAACTTATTCTAGAAAAAGGGGCAGGTATTATGACATTGTTTTCTCTCTGCTGCCTTTCATTGAATTTTATTTGTGATTTTGATATACGTGTATTTTTTCTGTCATTTTTTTATATTTTTCTTTTTATTGTATATAAAAT